AATTACATGATGCACGTGTCCTACACGAACACGCTAATGAAGTTTTGAGTAGCTTTTGCTCTCCCCGGTGTCAGCCTAATGCATCCAAAATATAAACACTCTCTAGATTGTTCTGCTACAGTCATTGTAGTCAGCTTTTAGTATTGGTGTAGCTTATTCCTTTCAATGATCTTTAATTTTTTTTCTTCTCTTCCCCTGTTTTGTTTAGTTATTGTTTAAACCGGTATTCATTTTGCTGAATATTTCTAGCATCAAGTACCAGCATTAAATAGTAAACTGATGTAGTGTTTGGAAGCTATGCTCGTTTCTACATTTTTTGCCTCTTAACGTTAAGTGGTCTGCCTCTTCTGGACGCTTTATGTAACTAACGTTCTGCATTCCCTCGGCACCGACAATGACACGATTAAAACCGTCGAGATTATCAAATTTACCGAGTATGGATGTTTGATATCAACCATAAATCACGTTTGTCTTTATCCTGGCGGACTGATGTGGGGCTTCCATCTCTGATCGATAATCTTCTAGGAATGGTTCAGCTGAATTTGAGCTACAATGCACTTTTCTCGTTTCATTTTACACGATTGCTTTTTATGTGATTTAAAAAAAAAACAACATTCCAAAAGTGGGTTTATAGAAAGTGAATGTTTTATTTGAATATGCATAAATATACATCTTTTAAATTAATGGATAAAAAAAGGTTAAAATTGCAGATGAAACAAAGGGTTTTCTGTTTCTCTACATATTTCATGTATTCAGTATAGTAATTCTTCCTTTAAACATTTTAAATTTTCCTTTAAAGAAAAATATGCGCTTTAATTTTTTAAAACAATATTCCAAATTTTTACATCAAACAAAATATTCCATAATTTTATACGTAAAAGGAAAACAAAATAACAATGGGGAGAACAAATAAATAAGCGAATAACGCCGTCTGAAGTCTGAAATTAAAACATCGAAATCCGCAAATTAACTAATAATATTGAAATACTTTGAGTAAACAAGTGAATGTGAAATTAATAGGATTAGAGTCACTGAGAAACAAAAGTTTGGTTTGGAGTGAAGCCAGTTTCATCAGAATGTAATAATATTGGTTCGGTAAGTTGTCCTAATCCCTCGTTCTCTTTTCGTGTGATTACAGGGCGGGATTCCTGGAGGACGTGCGTTGATACAGTCACATAACTGCCCCGACTCTCCTAAACACCGAGCACTGGACTAAACAGCAAAACACAGGGTAAATAATCTTATATGCATTTATTTCTTCATTTGTTAAAATTGAAATGTGATATATTCAAAAATATCTTTGACAGTATTGGGATTCTTTTAAAAATATAATTTTATATATTCAGAAAAATCGATATGAAACAAACATATTGCATGTTCTTTCTTTTGGTACCCTCAATATTGATAGAACACACGGGTATATACTAGTATTAATTAATATGTAAGTATCTAAATTTAAATCCTGTAACTAAACAAAGCTGAAGAAAAATAGAATTTGAATTTAACAAAGTATTTCTTTAAAATTAATTATTGACAGAAATTGGAATCGTGTACGCAATTAATCGGCAGATATGCATATATTATTTATTTATGAAAATGCGGAACAATGTACATGTATACAGAATAAGTTTGTTATTTCTGATTGCAAAAGTCTAGAAGATCAGTCGAGTTCTCCATACACTGTATTCGGTTTTATTACGGTTTTATGCTAATTGTAATATGTTAACATAGACGAGGAAAGCGAATTCCCACAGCGGCATGACCGATGGATATCGAGTTTTATTGCCCTAGGTTGTTATGTCCAACTCTCCTTCGTCAAATACAGTATAAAAGTTTTGCGAAGAACTGTGACTATTTCAATGTTTCTACACGATTTAAGGGGACCGACTATAGTTTCCATTGCGCAATATTTTGCGCATCATAGTAAAATGAAGCGTATTTATTGTTTTAATGCAACTTTTTTCGCTTAATTATTAAAATTAAACAAAATTAAGAAATTATAGGTGTAAAAATGTAATTACAATTCGATATTATAACTGATTATTTAACCGATTTTGCAATTGATTGGTAGGATGATGTCACTGCAGTGTCTTTTTGACGTTATGGTAATCTGAAGCTCTTAAAGAAAGGGGTAATAAAAATATTATTACAGAAAAAGTAATAAACACACGCTCTTGAAATTTAAAACATAGAAATTTTAGAATATCTCCAATATTTTTATTATGTTTTCTTTTGAATCCATTGTTTACGTCATATTTTGTAGTACTCTATAAAAATAGTGAAATTTGCTATTTTTTTGCATTTTGAGATGCCCCCTCTCTTAACAAGACAGTAGAATTTTGTGTTTCTTACATATATTGTATCATATAGTATTACTCATAAAATATTATAGTTTGAACAAAATGCCTAATGTAGTATTTGTATAATTTGCTTTAAAGTGCTAAAAATTGGCATTTTCCTATATAATCCTATAGTAAATGTACCTGTATTTTGAGACGGTCCCTCAAAAATACCTGGACGGTAGATTTTCCCCAAACTTTGCATATACACTGAAGTAAATGCAAGTTATATATGGTATAATAATGAAGAGTGTCGCTATTGTAGTTTTCACACAATAAAACTATAGTCGGCCCCCTTAAATTAAGTGAACTGCAGTCTTAAATATCACAACTCCATAAAAAGTTCCGCTACATTTTAAAATGGGTGTATAACATGAATAACAAAAATTATAAACAAACACAATCTGAAATTTTAGACCATTGAATGAGAAAAGAGATCGAGGGAGACAAAAACGAAAAAGTGAGGGTGGGGGTGAAAGGCCTTCTATATGATTTTTTTTCTGCATTGTTGCAAAAGAAATATTTTTACTTTTTAAAATGAAAATAAACATTCAAGGTCACATAACTTTTATATGTACGTATATTTAGCAATTGTATATTGTTGGAGAAAGTACGCCCTTCAAATATACAAGACTTGTTATTATTTCGATTTTTTTCACTTAATCTTTGGAGGAAAATTCTTATCAGAGTCTAATCAACAACCAACCTAAATTTTATAAAAATCTATGTATAAATCACTGACATTTTTTGTTATACTTTCGTCAACCAGTAGCATAATAATAATATACCATGCAGTTATCATTATATTGTTGCGGGTATTTTTTTCTGTCTGTGGGATAAAAAATATTATTAGTTTTTTATAATTGTAGAAACAAGTGTCCGAGGCATAAACCGGTATTTGTATTATATCATATTAACTTTTTTTTATCATTTACTGTATTCCAGCAGTATGGCAAACGTTCTAGATCTTGAGGACATTGTCAAAACTTGGGCCTGGACGAACTTTCTCAAGGTTCGCTCCAAAGAAAACAGCAAGCTCCGTCTGGAAGATGTGCAGATGAATGTCAACTGGTCACGTGTTCGATTCGTCACGGAGAAGCCAGTGTACGAAGACAAAAATATGGAGAAAATTCCGAAAGCTCAAGTTGTATTTAGGTCAACATATCACAACAATACAGAGAACGAACAAGAGCATTCCTTCCAAACTGAGAGAACAACGTCTTGTGTGAGTACAACCAGCATGGAGAAGGGATTCACCAAGGGATTTAATGTGGAACTCAAACTAGGACTTCCGGAGGAAGTGGCCGAGATTACAGCGGGATTTGGGAGAGAGGTGAATATGCAAACAGGATTTGAGGATACTTGTGAAAATTCCTTGACCTGGGCAGTAAATAGCACAATTAGGGTCAAGGGAAATCATTCCGCGACGGCGGATCTTGAGGTGCGGGAAAATGATTTTAGTGCCAAATATAAAATGTTAGTAAAAATTCGAGGAATTGTGATTGTATCTTTAACGAATTTAAAAGACAATAATTCGTTTATCCAGTCGTTTGAAGGAGATTTTTCCCAAATAATGAAGGATGAGCAAAAGAAAGGAACGACTGGTTTTACGATAGAAGAAAGGACTGTACATTGGGTTGTCGAGGGTAACTGTAGTTTCCGATTCGGGGTGGAGCAGCAAATTAAACTCAAAGAGGAACCGCTTAACAACTAAATGATGAAAGAGGAAATCTATGTGGGGGAGATGTAGGACTGGACATATTTAGTCTTCGTGAAAGGATGATAAATATACTTAATCGCCGGTATCTATTTAATATGATTGAGTGTGTACACACGATTTAGTCATGTATACTTGATAAACGAAATTCCTGAAATGTTTAACTTTGAAGATGATTTACAATGTGACCTTTAATTTTCATAGTTAGATAAACCGGTCCATTTTGGACAATTAATTTATTGGGTATTATTCAAATCAAAATATGAATCATCAACCTGCTGTAAAATATGATGGAGTATACACGATTATGATGGAATATATATACTTAATTAGCCTGCATAGTACTATGGACAATTAATTTCTTAAGTATTATTTCAAACGACCTATGATCAAGATAGATCAACAACTGCTGTAGAATATGATTAATTCACCATATCAAGATCTACACATGTTCAGATGCTGATTTTTGAAAACCAAATGTGTCTTGTTAATAACTTTAAGAGTAAACCTGTATCCCAGTAGTTACCATAACAAAAGAAAAAAACAAAACAAAAAAAAAAAACAAAACAAAACGAAAACAAAAAAACAAAACAAAGAACAACCAGATACCAAAACTAACATGAATTTTATTTTTTAAAGATCACAGTATCTACTCATTGATTATTTACAGATCTATATTTTGGGTAAAAAGAATTATAAAGTTATGAACAAATAATTAAATTATATGATAAATAAACAACTAAAGTAAAATACATATAATCTTGTACTTTAATTTCAACATTATTGCACAGCTAAAGGATATCTACTGAAAAACAGTACTATAAACTATTTACATATATATACAGCATACAAAGACGGATTGCTTACAGTTAGTGTACAGTAAAAATATTTTTCCATTGAACACTAAAATTAAAGTAACTATAAACAAGTCATTTTCATTAATATTGTTTTTTGTCAGCTATTTAATCATTACGTTTATTAATTTTTTAAAATATAGTCTTATATAATATTCTATGTACATCAAAACCCTTCCAATATAAAGTTATTAATATCATCAACAGTCATCGAATATCATAGATAGGATAGAAACAGTTCTTTGTGATGTATAAGAGGGAGTTAAACATTAAAACATTTAGTCATAAATCTTTAATTGATACAAGGTAGTTCTAGGTTTTGCAAAGCTAGCAACATATGACAGGCATAAAAAGTAGAAATTACTGCATGCATATTTTACTTCAGCATATCAGTTGATAAGTATAGGTACAATACCTCATATAAAATCTTGTTGACCATGATATCAGCTCAAGTACTAAATGTTTACAAATAAGCCTTCAATCCAATCAGAGGATTCATCCGATTTAATATCCTTGGCTCTGCTTTCTGTGCCTAGGCATCTGGATCCTGATCAAGTCCATTCTTAGAGAGCTGCACCGCCCACGAACTCTCTTCCTTCTTCTTCAAATTTAGAATTACCTGCCCCTTTTTAAACTGAAATGGGAAAATGCAGTTAACTATATTGAAGAAATTACTGCTAAAACTTAATTTATCTTATGATTCATAAAACTGATTTGTATCCACCCAGGTAAAAAAAAAACAACCCAAGATTTCGTAATACATTTTTTTGCTGTTAGAAGGATAAGGCCTTGTAAGTTTCATAATAATTATAACAGATGAAACTTTGGAAATGGACTCTTTACCTCAGGTTTACAATTAGGCTCGATGTCCCCGGGCAGTTTGTTGGCTTTATATTCATACTTGATCACCTTACCACCCTTTTCTTCTATTTCAGCAGTGAACTGTAAACTTCTACAAACACAGATAATTACATAATCAGGCAGATCAGTAATACTTAGTCCAAGACTGGACAATCTGTGTGACTAAGCACTGCTTAGGGAAGATAACTCCTCATACCTTGTCTCTGGTTTAACTTCTACTTTACAGTTTTTGCTGGGTTCCTTTGCCCCAAACACTTTTGTTTTTAAAGTCAGTTCTGGGACAATTACAACAACACGAACAGTGGTCAGGTCTATCTCTTCAGCAGCAACTATAAATAAAAATTCAAATACATCAGTGATTTACTTTGCTTTTGAGATCTATTGATCTACACATACAGCTGTATACCATACTGTCATTCCGTAATCGGTAATCACGCTATTGATTTCCCCAAAATTTATTTCATTTCACAGACAAGATCTAAAGATAATAAATTTGAATTCTTTATCAAAATCAACTGCATCTTAAAAACAAATTAAATTTTATTCCTCAGTGTTTGCTTAGGATAACGAGCGTAAAGCTTCACATTTTTTCCTGATCAAGCTGATCAGGGCGTGTCTCCTATGTTTACTTAAGTGCATTTGATTATTTTCAGCGAAAATTTGGTCTCAAATATATTTTAATTATCAATAATACATTGTTACCTGTGGGAATTCTAGTATCCGTTGCCATGCTGAAGCTTTTTTGGGTAGATACACACAAAAATGTGTAACTATCAAAGTGAAAATAGAGACTAAAAGCTAAACCACAAATGTACTTTTTCCGGAATGTAACAAGATATATAATACAGACAAGTTTTTTTTGAAAATGAATACAATACTACAGAAGTGCACGTTTTTACATGTATGCACGTGGGTGCAGCTCGATGAGCTTAACCAACTAGTGTACGGTTTCTCTTTGCATTCTATTTTTCCTACCCGAGGTACAAACACCTTAGATGTCTTCATCACAAACCGCCCCTCCTTACTAAACAGATGCATACCTTGCCTGGGCCTTAGTGACCATGACATAGTCATGACTGACACAGATAAAAACCTGTCAGACGCCTCATCCACTTATGGAAGAAAGCCAACACAACGAAGATGGCAGAAGACCTTGACAGTGACCTGGCACACCTCATTGATGGCTCCACACATGACACCCCCATAAACGACCTCTGGATCACCTTCAAGACAGTCTGCCTCAACACCATTAGGAAGCACGTACCAACCAAGTGGACTTCAAGTAGATTTAACCAACCATGGTGTAACAGAAAGATCAAGCAACTGTCAAGACAAAAACGAAGAGCCTACAACACATATAAAAGATCAGGCAAGGATAAGGATCGACAGAGACACAGACGCCTGCAGAAATCAACCCAACATGAATGTAAGAGTGCCTATAACTCATACGTATCAGGCATGGTGCAGGAGGATTCCAACAGTAAGAAACTCTACTCCTTCATTAAGAGTAAGAAATGCGACAGCGCTGGGATTGCTCCTCTACGTTCTGATGGGAACCTTCATGGAGATCCAGAAACAAAAGCCTCTCTTCTGAACCAACAATTTTCGTCAGTGTTCACCACAGAGGATACATCTAATATCCCATATCTAGGCACTAGTTCCACCCCATCGGCACCTGATATCAGGGTCACAGAGAAGGGCGTACTGAAGCTCCTGCAAGGACTCAACCCCAATAAGGCGACTGGCCCGGATGAGACCTCCACTAGATTTCTGAAAGAGATGGCTCACCCAGTTACACCAGCACTCACCAAGATTTTCCAGGCATCCATTGACCAAGGTCAAACACCTGAGGACTGGAAAACAGCGAATGTCTCGCCTATATTCAAGAAGGGTGATAAGAGTAAGCCTGCAAACTATCGTCCAGTGTCCCTGACCTCTGTGTTTTGCAAGGTAATAGAGCACATCATCCACAGCCACCTGATGAATTTCTTCGAGCATCACAGTATCCTAACCGACTACCAGCATGGGTTCAGGAAGAAGCGATCCTGTGAGTCCGAACTAATAACAACAATCCAGGACCTCGCCATGAGTATTGAAAACAACACCCAGGTTGATGCAGTGCTACTGGACTTTTCCAAAGCATTTGACAAGGTCCCACATGAGAGATTGCTAGCCAAACTAGACCACTACTGGGTACGAGGCAACCTACTCAATTGGATCAGGAGTTTCTTGTCTGGACGAACGCAGAAGGTATTGGTCGAGGGCCATTTCTCACCAACCGCACCGGTTACATCTGGAGTGCCCCAAGGAACGGTCCTCGGCCCATTGCTATTCTTGGCATACATAAACGATCTACCATCCAGAGTGAGGTCCAAGGCCAGGTTATTTGCGGACGACTGCCTTCTGTATTGGACCATCACTACAGAGGCTAACGCCAGACAACTCCAGATGGACCTTGACAACCTCCAAGACTGGGAAACAGACTGGCTAATGCATTTCAACCCAGACAAGTGCGAGGTTATCCGTATCACCACCAAACGGAAGCAACGCATTACCCCATATTACATCCATGGGAAGGAGTTAGCCACTACTACCAAGGCCAAGTACCTAGGGGTCAACATCTCCAACAACCTATCGTGGAACCATCATATTGATAGTGTATGTAAGAAGGCAAACCGCACCACTGCCTTCTTAAGGAGGAACCTCTCGCCCTGTCCCAGTAACATCAAGGACAAGTGTTACAAGACATTGGTCATACCCCAGGTAGAATATGCATCCACCGTCTGGGACCTCACACAAAGAAAAACATTGACAAACTAGAAGCTGTGCAAAGAAGGGCAGCTAAGTTCGTGACCAATAACTACAACACCACCAGTAGTGTCACAACGATGATTGACAGGCCAGAATGGGAAAGTCTACAACAACGCAGAATTAAAGCAAAGGCTATTATGATGTACCGTGTCATCCATTCCCTTGTTGCCATAGACCTGCCTCCCCAATTCAGCCAAACAGGAGCAACCACAAGGGGACACCAACAGCGGTACAGGATCCCATTTTGCCGTACCAACGTCTACAAGGAATCGTTCTTTCCTACTACCATCAGGATATGGAACCAGCTGCCAGAAGACACCATCAAAGCCATATCCCTGGAGTCCTTTAAGACCAGGATTCAGGGATACAAAGCACCATAAACAAAGCAGGACATGTTTTTATCAGTTTTTAAAATTGTAAATAGACGCGTGGACTCCCCCTCACGTACACGTTTTTAATCAAAGTGAGAAAATGCCGCAGCAGCGGCCCTTCTCTTGACAGGAAGAAGAAGAAGAAGGATTTTTATTTTACATTTACAACATATCATTGGAATGAAACAAAAAGTTTTAGGGAATTTAAATAGGAATATAAAATGTATATAATTATAGAATTTATTTATAAAAAATATTCTCAAGAATTATACAACCAAGAAAAGTTATATTTTGATACAGATCTAAGCACCCTCAGTAAAAGGAGATTCTGATGATCGAATGATATGATACACTGTATTGTCAAATCATCTGAAATACATGTAAACTTAACGTGCATAAGTTTCAGTATAACTATTGAAGTGCCTGATAAAATCTTGCCTCTGTTTAAACCGGTCGAATAGACAAGGATAGCGACTTCCTCACCAGTTTATGGATACCGCCTTTGTCGTGTTCTCATCATATGACTGAATTTCTATAAACGACACTAGAATGAATTTGAACTACCATATTTTTAACTCTTTTTTCAGAGGTTCGTGTTTGCTCTATTCAAAAAAGTGTATTGTTTCAATCGACTTTTGAGTGCAATTACAGTTAGTAATCTTCATATTCCATTTGTCATTTGTAAACCTGACTGTTACTTATTTGTCACTGATATCACTTCATTACTTTGTGCAGTTATAATCTGTTCAAATCATAACCCCTGTATATTGGACTGGGCCACAATATGGGATCAAAGATTTAAGAGGCCATGTCAGTAAGCATTGAACTTTCTATGGAAAGTCAAAAATATGAATTTTTTCTTAAAAAAAAGTGTATGAATTATTTCTGTCACAAATGACAAAAAGAATACAAAATTAGCGATTTCAGCCATAATAATTGAGTTGTATCCAAGGAAAACTGTTTCCTTAGTTACCAGACAAACTTTTTACATTCATAGATATATTTTTTGAAAGACTATTCATATGCAACATATTCACAAAATTTGAGCTAGAGCTAAATTTTTCACTTTTCATGTAAACTTATAGTGTGAAGAAGCTCACTGCTTATTGCTTACTGACATGCCTTGTAGACTCTCGTGGATATAGATGTATAGGATATATCTTGAGAACTCTCCTTCTCAATTAAATATATGGAGATAACGAACAGCATTTAAGCTAATACAGTCCATGAAATAATACAATAAAATTGCAGCAGAGCAAACACGGACCCCATAAACAGCAAAGTTGGGATCATGTATCATGAAGGAGTGAGCATCCCCTACAATGTGCTCCTTGTATTGATTGGGAAATAATGGAAAAATCTGTCGTCAATTCAGTGTATGACTCGATGATAAATTGTATTAGCTGACAAGGTTATTGTATCGACCATAGAACTTACGAAACGATGTCTGATTTATTGACTTCAAACGAGACTGCTGATATTCTTGTTTTATCAACTTGTTTGTCAATAATTTACCTCGTTATAGAAAATGTACATACGTAGAGCATGCTCTTGCATACTCAGTAGCGAATCAACTGAGAGATAAACTCCGTGTGCAGGTGGAGAAGGATAAAGAATTATACAACTGAGATTAGTTATAATATTTTAAAACAGATCGAAGCATCCTCAGGTAATAAGATTCTAATGATCGAATGATACGATTTTGTCAAATCATCTGAAATCAGCTAGGGTGCATTGAAATAAGTTTCAGTATGAAGTGCTTGATGAAATCTTGCCCCTGTTTTAACCGATCGGATAAATGATTAAAGGTCAATAGCGAATTCCTCTCCAGTTAATGGCAATTTACAACCTTGCAAAGCTGGCAAACATTTCAAATTGCCGGGCACTTTGTAAAAATTCAGTTTTGAGATTTTCAATATTCCCAACAATTAAAATGAAGTTGAACTGGATACTGTATTCCTAATCTTTATAAATAAAGATATATATACGGGTTCCAGAAAATGTTAAGCCAAGCTCTTTGTTTACTCCTCACACCAAGATATTACATCTGTAACAACAGTGAAGGAGAAACTTCAGCAGTCCTGTACAACTAAATAATTGTTTGAAAGTGGTTTAAATAGCTATAGATACTTAAAAATTCCAAGAAACTTTTGAAAAAAATTGAAATCACAAAATTAAACCGAAGTCGATAACATTATAAACTTATGACTTTTTAACTTTTTATACAAGGTATATAAAATACTGTAATGACTTTTTAACTCTATATACATTTTACAACCATTCCTTGCGATCTTTGACAGCCTTCTTTTCAATAAGAATGGAACTCGCCAATTTACTTACCTTGACATTTGTTATTCGTAAAATTATTTTGTTAAAAAATCTTCTGATAGTACATAAAAAATAATGCTCTGAAGTTGATTTTAAAAGATGCACGAGTTTCTGATTGTCAGTATCTGAGTGGTTTTTGAGACCAGTGGGTCTTCGAACATTCTAATATCGGAATTTCCATATGTACTAATATTGCGCCCCGCTCATAGCAGACATATTTTGGATTCATTCGAAGCAGAATTTATTCAAAAACTTTGACACGAGAAGGACAAAACACTTGTTGTGGCCTTAAAACCGACATTTTGATATACGGACAACACATTATCAATTTATAATAGTTACTTCCAATCATATTTCGACTTTTATACATCCCAGTGAGCTTTAAAGAAAAGATATCACAGAGTGAATCTGATAATCTGTTTCATATTTAGATCTTTAACTAGAAATGGACTTTATTAGCATCCGTTATTAGCGGACCTATTTTTATATTCATATGAAGCAGAATTTGTGCAAAATCTTGTGCGTGAAAAGAAGAAAACACTTGCTGTGGCCTTCAACTCGACATTTAGATATATCGACGACGTATTGTCAATTAACAATGGTAATTTCCATTCCTACGTCGATATGATATATCCTGGTGAGCTTGAAATAAAAGATACCACGGAGTATGACACATCTGTTTCATACTTGGATATTTTACTTGAAAAAGACGTTAATGGTAATCTAACAACCAAGCTATATGATAAACGTGATGACTTTAACTTTTCTATCGTCAACTTCAATTACTTATGCAGCAATATACCTTCATCACCTGAATACGGAGTGTATATATTTCAGTTAATTCGATACGCAGAGCTTGCTCTACTAAAGAACACTTTCTAAAACGAGGTAAATTATTGACAAGCAGGTTGATGTAACAAGAATATCAGCCGTCTCGTTTAAAGTCATCATTTCGTAAGTTCTATGGTCGATACAATGACCTTGTCAGCAAATACAATTTATCATTGAGTCAAATGCTGACTGACGTTTTTCATACTAATTGTTAGTCCATTTTTTATACACCGAATTGACGACGGTTTTTCCCGTTATTTCCTGATCATGTCAAGAAGCACACGGAGGGTGTGACCGGTCAGCAGGGGATGCTCACTCCTCCATGGCACCTGATCCCACCTCTGATGTTTCGGAGGTCCATGTTTGCTCTGCTCCTATTTTGTATTGTTTTATTGACATTGATATTGAATACCGTTCGTTATCTCCATATCCTACGTTCATGATAGCCTAAAAATATCTTTGATATAAACGTTCAAATTTTCGATCGCCAGCTTCCCTTACTTTCGAAGCAATATACTCTTATAACCTACCTATGGGGTTTATGTCACAGTTCCTTTTTTAGTGAAAAAGCAGTTGTTAATGCTATCAAAAAGCCTGGACTTTAATTCACCGTGGAAAATGCTATATTCAAAGTTATTTTCGCCCTTTTGCACTTGCGAACAATTTTGCCCCTTTTTAAATTCGCCCATTCATAGTTCTATTTAAGAATAAATGCTGTGTAATTTAAAAATGGTCAAACGGAAGCGAAAATTTCCCTGTATACAGTGGTAATATACTAGTATATACATAATATATAAAAAGTCGATAAGTCTTAAGCTTTTCTTTTGTTTATTTTGATAAAACTTTGTGATTTCAAATTTTCCAAAAGTTCCTTAGAATTTTTTTGTACATGAATTCACATCTGATTAACACCGTTAATAGAATACAGGTATATTGTTGCGCGATACTCCTGAAGTTTCTCCTTCACTACTCTTAATATGTTAGAGAGGCTTGGTAAAACATTTCTTGAAACCTGCTATGCATCTGTGTTTGTAAGGATCTTTATGAAGTTTCGGAATACAGATGTGGCAATTTAAATTCATTTTGATTGCTGGGAATAAACACACAAGAGTATGAACAGTTTTGTTAAACGTCATTATTTCGCGAGTTTTAAGGCCGATACACATGGCATTGTCGGCAAATACATTTTATAATTAAGTCAAATGCTGCTGGATGTTTTTCATACTAATTGATATGCCATTATTTAAACCTACATTTCTTCCTATTTTCCCATATTTTGATAAGGCTGATTGGTTGGTAAGGGATGCTCACTCCTCCATGGTACCTGATCCCATCTCTGATTTTTATAATACGGATCATTATCTCTATTTTTCATCATCTTCTTTTCTGTTACACAAAACAGTGTGAAAGACAACTACTTAAATAAATAATCATTTAATAAAAAAATAATTAATGGTGATGAAGAACATCAACTTAAACTAAGACATAAGGTAAAATAAATACACAGAATAACATAAATATAATAGTATAATGGCAATACAATGTAAAATGTGAGAACTGTCTAGAGAACAAGAAGCTCTAACTTTTCCTGGATAGCTGGAGCAGAATATCCGCTAGTTTCTCGTAATCACTTATCTCGTTGTAAATATTGGCGGACAGTCTCACATAAAGCTCGCCTTGAACAGGATAGATTGCAGTGTTGATTTTATGTGTCTTCATGATATCCATGTAGAGATTTTCTGAACCTTTCTGAAAAAGAATTGACAAGACACTGTCATTGTATTTGATATTTAAATATTTACATTTCCAATGTATTTGCTTGAGATAAAACAACAAATAAGGTACAAGCTTTATAACCTCATAAAGCAATTTGCTCAGCATATGATATTTTCTCGCTGCGTGTTCCTTAGTAATACACCTGAAGGGAATGCTTTAATTTCTGTTTTATGATGATCAATTAGTTTGTTGGCGTGATAATTTAACGCATAAATGCCTTCGGCATTTTTGCAAATTATTTTGCGAGCAAACTGATTGATCACAACATAAAACCCCCCCAAAAGAGACAGTTGTTCCTTTAATGTATATCTTACCCAAGTCTTCTCATAGCCTTCAAATTCTGGTAACAATACAAGTCTCATGCCGGGAGCTTCCATTGATTTCGGGATCTGCAGCACCTCTGTACCTAATTTCTCTGCTATCAACTCACTGGCTTTGTCCAAGAGGTTTCTGGTGAACTTGTTAATCCTTTCCTAGACGAGTACATGTACATGTATATGCAAAAGAAGAAGATAATGATCCGGGATCGATCTAAAAAAATCTATAAACAATACACATCTGTGAAATGGACAAAACACGGACCCCTGGAAATTAAGAGGTAGGATCACTGCCTAGGAGGAATAAGCATCCCCTGTTGATCGCTCACATTCCCCGTGAATAGTATGTATTTATCAGGTAGAAGAGTATATTAAAAGAAATTCAATAATTTACATCTCACTCAAGTAGACCCTACAGAATACTTTGTTTGCCAAACTTCAGAGGAGTTCCTAATGACCCATTAATTTCACCCCTGTATTTCGATTTATTCAAAACATAAAGATTGTGAGAATTTCAAGACTAAAAAAAATCGATAACATACCCTCCCTCCTACGTCCTGGTAAAACTTTAGAGACTCGGGTAACAAAAAATACGGAATATCATCACGTGTTCCTTGTCTACAGAATTCCTTCTGAAACCCCTTTTTATACATATGTGACGTCACAAGAGGAGTGCACCAATCCTGGTGATCCTTATGAATCCAGAGAAAGGCGCATCCTCTTGGTGTATAGACCCACTTATGGAAGTTTCCTACGTAAAAATCAGGACTGAGTTCTTCAAGGCTGATCTCCACTTGGCCGGGTGCATGAGCACCGTCAATTAAAACCATAACGTTTCTCTTCCTACATTCCGATATCATTTCTTTTAACGGTAACTTTAGTGCTGTTGGACTTGTGATGTTATCTGAAAGGTTCCAACAGATGAAAATATTGAAGATAACGATCAGTGATTGACCTCAATAATATCTTTAAACAATAGAAATCTGTTTAAGTTCTTAAACATGCAATTTTTAATACTTATAATGTACTGTCATTAAATAACTTCAACATAGCCTTTGATTATGTATCTGATATCATTTTAATGTTTAAAATCATACCTACCTAACACTACGAGTTTAATTTTGGGATGCTCGGCCAGATATGATGTCATACTATTAACCACCTCCATTTCATCTCTAATGGGAAAGTGTATATCAAACTGATGAATATGTCCTCCTGATGAACAAAATGAAAAATAATAAGTAAGAGATGATCAAGATACTAATAATTTAAAATTTTAAATGAAGGTAACATACAACCATTGATGAATATACCTGTGGAAAACTCCGCTACCTTCCGACAAGCGTATTCAACTGCTTTGTATGTATAATTTGTGGCCAAAATCTCATCATTTTTCGTCCATGGGAACGCTTTTAAGACAGAGTTCACACCTGCAGATTAAATATTTTTGTTGATGTATACATAGACCTATATCTATCCCTATAACCTAGCATTAAAAAAATTCATGTATGTATTTTAAATGGTTCTTATCTGTTGTGGCATTTTGTACAAGAACCAAATTTTCTGGATCCGCCCCCAAAAATTTGGCTGCTGCTTCTATTGCCTTTCTAAACAGTCGAGGTGTTGCATCCCTGAAGAACATCCCCGTGTTATCGTTCTGGGTGTCCAGTAATCTAAAAATAGAAAATTTAACATAAAAAGGGAAGATTAGTACGAAAGATGATTTATCTTAAATAAATAATAAACTTTTAGGGACTAAGTGCCTAAAAGAAGGAGGCATCCCCTGTTGATCCGTCACACCCGCCGTGAGCTCTGTTTTGATCAGGTAGACGAAACAGTTATTGAAATTTAATATAAAACAAAATCCCAGCAGTTGGAATGAAACGTTTCATCCCGATTTTGACCAAATGATTATATTTGCTTACAAGATCACCATAACGTTTATCTCTATATCATGTGCATGCATTTTCCAGGAAGTTTGTGCAGTATCTGAAAACATTGCTTATAATTAGTTAATTAATTAGTTGCAAAGTTAATAAAATAATGAATTACAAACAAGATTATTTTTTCACGCTCATGTTAAATAGAAAAATTGAAGTACATTGACCTAAAATATTATATGAATATGATGTAGAATTTGCTTACTGTTTTTGTTTTTCCCTTATAATCAAAGGTACCTCACCATACGCTCCGTGATTTACATAGGTAAAGCCCTCCTCAAAATGAAAACACTGTTTTTTCATAGCTGCACCGAATTCGATCTTCGAAAGATCCATGTTATTAGAAGCTGAGAACAGTCGTGGACTTAAACAGGGGTCTTCCAGTAACTCTACTACTGACTCTTGTGTAAATGCTGGGATATGTTTCAATCCGCGACACCTTTGTAACGATAACAGGGGGTGTTCATTCCGTAACGAGTACACATACCCTTATCTCACTGGTTTATGCGTGTATTGGCCAGGTATACATGTGAAAGGCGGATTAAAATATGCAGTGTCAAAGTGTCGAAAGTAGGACAAAATTATCTACCTTCCTAAAATAATGCAATAGTCAAGGTAAAGACAGGGATGTCAGGAGAACTCATAACTTTCTATTTTACATTGATTTGCAATTTAAAAAAAAATCTTTAAAAAGAATTCATTGGGATATTTTTATGCTAGCAATTTCAAAGAAAATCATTAATAAAAAAAGAAAAGGAGTATTCTATTTAAGTATAGTAGCTTGGCACCTTTTTACATCCTTGGTTTACGGGTTAAACATTAGCATACAGAATTTTATTTGTTTTTAATGTGTTTAACAAAGTGTTTTTAATGATAGCATTGTGTTTTTATAATGAATAATAATTAAGGATATCCGATCCTCAGCCAGGAAGGATAACTCCAAAAATTAATATTTAATTTGAAATGCATCAAAATGAAGCTTAAAAATGAAATTTTTTCATGCAACAATTTTCATTTTATTCATCTTTATAACATTCAAGGTTTTTGGAAGTCTTAGAAAAGGACTTAGAAAAGTTGATTTGTATCCTATAAAAGTGAAAACATTACAGTTTTAGAGAAATAAAACTTTCTTGAATCCAGCCTTAGATGCCAATGCTTATTAGCATGATATGAAATAAGAAGTGATTTGTGGTGTCTTAATTGCAATGATAGCAAAATCATTTTACATTATGTATTAAAGAATACATGACGGTAATAGAAGACAAAAAATACCAAATAAGTATAAAACTCATGACAATTTCTCTGAATGGCTGGATACCTATCGCTTTTTAACCTAAAATATATTTGTTGATCAGTTTGCAATTAGAAAATGCATTGCTGATCTTCCAATTCTGCAAAAATATTGGAGATTTGACAATTTACCCTATATAATATGATTAACTTTAATCTTTAACTTTAAAGAAATACTGTGGATAAATTTACATAACTTTGCGGATTCAGAGATACTTTTATGAATATTTTTGATTACTTAACTGCTAATTTTATAAACCTGAGGATCGGACTACCTTAAACAAAAAAACAAAAAAAAAAAAACAAAACAAAAAAAAAGCAAAGTTTTAACATCCATCGCACTAAAAAAGCCGGAATATTCCCTCGGTTTCTCAATTACATGGGAATGGGCGGAGTTATTTAGACTAGATATTATAAAATAAATCACTTGACATATTTTCCTTTCAAAGAAAAATTACATTTTCACGACTAACAATAAACTTAAAAAGTTTCCTAGTTTGTATTTTTAAGCATCCACATCTGATTTTCACTACTTCTTGAATCTATTCTTGCATGTTCAGTACCCCTGAAGCTTTTCCTGCACTGCCATCAGTATTTTTAGTGAGGATCAATGAAGGAGCCTTGGTAGAACATTGACTGAAACCCGCTATTTATCTTTGTAGGGTTTTACGAAGAAATCCAGTTTAGGTATGGCTATACAAATTCATTTTGATATTGTTTTGGAATAAAGAAAAAAGAAATCAAAATTGATATTATATTATTTTGAAAAATTCCCTCCCTAGAAAGAGAACTTTGTTTAAGATAGATAATCATGATCAAAATCAAATTCCTGCTCCTCTAAAATGCAAATAAAACAATGTGCTTTACAGAACATGGCAAAGACACTGTTGTAGCCGCGCGCCTTTGTTAAGAACTTAAGTTAACTATAGCTTACAGCCTTACTATAGTTAATTATAGTTAATCAAAGTTTTCACTTTAGTTAATAGTAAGTTTTTCAGCTACAACAAATTTCAGATAGATAATTGGATTAATTTCATTTCATTAAATTCCTAAAAAAAATTCTCAAGTAAAGTTTCATAGTAAATCAAAGTACTTACAATAGTAAACTATACATGTAGTTAATTAATACTATAGTATATTTTTATTAAGGCAGCCCATGCTGATCGTGAAATCTACCAGGTACTGTAAATCACTCTTTTTATTCGCGAGAACTTTATTTTCGCGTAATTACGCGAGACGGTATGCTCGCGAAAATTTCATTCTCGCGTATAATAGAATTCCTCAAGATTATATAGAGCAATGACCATAATTCGTGAAAATTTTGTCTCGCTAAAAAAGAGTCAATGACTATCTCGCGAAAATAAGGTGTCGCGAAAATTAAGTGATTTACAGTATTTTTAATTCATTTTTCACATCTGGGTTATTGAACACAGATGGATATATGGTTTTTATACTGCCCTTCAATTAGTTAATGTGAGATTTTATTAAGTTTTAATCCATTCTGACAAAGCATACATGTTTCTTTTTCATGTTTGGTACATTGCATTGCGTAATCTTAATAGACTTCACAATACATGTATATGATACATGTATATGAAATTGATATGTATAATTTTGTATATGTATATTGAAATGTAGGGGTTCCCTAAAAGTTGGCATTTTAAAAAAGCGACTTAGGTCCTCATAACATAACTATTTACGTCACAAGTAATGACATGTCTAGCAGGATTATAGTTGTAGGGTGATGAATATGAACAAGTACTTTGGAGGATATGTTAAAAAATTTCAGAGAGACCCAAGTAATAAAAGTATTTGGAGAGAATAGTCGATGTATATTTCTAACTTCAACATGAATTATGGTAGTGAATACAAGACTGGACCCTTTTGTGATTTAATAGGACTATCACTTATATTAACAGTATAGATTCCTTTCTATGATATGTTTAATTAAAAATCGGTCTACTTATACCAGTTTAATTTGATTGTAACTATTTGGTGAGAATAGGTATCTCTCATCAGAGTGCGAGCTCCGCAAGCTTCAACTCTGTTATTATCTAAAAAGTAGTTCGGATTGTCTCATAATTAATTGGCAGTCTTAGCGCCAAAGAAAAGTGTGTTGATGTTTTGTAGGTTGCCAAATGATGTTACGTGTTTTAAGCTCTCTGATCGAAAATATATTCTAAAATAAAACTGAAAAATCAAAACAAAATAGTTCTGTACATGTACATATTGAAGTTATTTTAATATACATGTATATATCAAGCTTTTGAAAAATAAAAAAAAAAGTTCTGCCGATTCATATTTTTAACTTCATTTTTAAAAACCAACAATTTGATGAGAATATGTATTTTCTTTGGTTTTACAAGATTTTTGTAATTTAGAAGATAACAGAGGTGTTGGAGCGGAAAGTAAAAAGCCCTATGATGAGAGCTTGATTGGCGTAGTCTGAAGTCGGCTATATTTCAACAAATGAATATCCAAAATCTTATTTATATGTCAATACTATATGTTGTAACTTTGAAGTCATGAGAACTCTTCAGTAAATAATCCAAATGAAATCAGATAAACTCAAAGGTATTTCACTCTCTTTGACCTTTTTATGGAAAACTTTATTTTATTCAAAGCCTGCGTCACCCGCGGGTCTGCTTAATAACAGAGAACGATATTCAAGTACATTCGATGAGCTTATATGAAATTAGAAAAAATATACAGTAACATGCATGCGCAAAATCCCTTAGCTTAGATAATTTTCTTCCATAACAGAGTTATGTCTGGTACTATCATTTCGGAGAATGCCCTTGAACTTTATATCCTGTTTTCAGCAAAATTGTCCTCCGGTTTATTTGTCTTCTGTTCATCTTTCATGGCGAGTCCTTGGTTTCTGTTATAGCGAATAATAATCCTTACCACAGCAAAAAGAATGCATACAATACCAAAGCCAGCAAAAATAAGGGAATATGGAACGCTAATGGAGCTGTAGTTGTCTTCCCCTTCTGCTGCTTTTGTAGAAGCATCCATAGCAATGAATCGAAGAAGAACAGCGAACTCAAATGTACCTGTGAATCCAAACATAAGAATATTACCGCTTACTGTTTGAATAATTAGATATATTTATATTTACTTTCGTTATTTTTCCTAATAAAAGGTTTTAAATAATTTCAAGGAAAGTGATAAGTATACATAACACCCAAGACCAAATCGTTGTAATCTGTTGGGCGTATGAATACAAAAAATATTTATTTGTTTCAGAACATAAAAGCCTGTTTATGCCTATTTTATTAATAGTAAGGGGAAGAGTTGTTACCTGCCATCAATAAAAGGATTCCCCCAGTCACAAACATCGATGGAAATGACACTTTCTTCTTGGCATTAAACAAAAGAATCAACCAACCGACTCCCCCGAGAACGACAGCAAGGAGACTCTCTATCTGCACATCTATCATTGCTGAAGGAAAGTGTTATAACAGGTTATTTACTATACACAAATTAAAATGTCAAAAATTGCAGTTAATCAATTTATCATATAAAGTTTATTTCAAAAACACACAGAAAAACACTTGAGAGAGAGAGAGAGGAGAGAGAGAGAGAATTACATAGCTGAAGCGCCCCATTATTGTTCTTTTCATCATCAAGAGCTAGGTAAGATCTTGTTGAGCATTTATCAAACACACAAGTCCTGGCATAGAAGATGCTCCTCATCATGTTTTCCTATACAATATCGTAAAATGTAAATGATTTACTAAGGTTTTTTTTTCATACAATAAGTGGGTAATTGTATCAATCCTTCCATGAATCAATGATGAGAAAAATTTCACCTTATTGATCGTTCAAAATCAGATTTGAATTACCTCATCCACTATAAATCCAGGAGTTACCATAGAAACGAAACAGAAAACTAATCCAACAACAGACGAGATCAACTCAAGAAACAACGTCTTGGTCTGAGACATACTTTTCTTCTTTGAAAAAAATTATAAAGGAAAGAAATGAAAAAAAATTACAGACAACGCTATTACTTTGGATTTGGTTTTAAAAAATAGTGTTTATTTTTCAAATGTAACAATTTTAGTGTATTGAATAGCTTGATGACAAATGAGGCAAGTTCAAGTAGTTCTTGTTTGCAATCTGTAATCTTCACACTTTCTGATATTTGATCCTTTTTTCAGTTTTCAACAAACTTTAACCATCACCCTCGATG